TCTCTCATTTCCCCCCTTAACCTTTCTGCTAACAACTTCGCATACACTTTGTACAATGACCCGGCCAATGTCACACCCCTATACTCCTCCACCTTATTATCCCCTTTATTCAATTATCTCCTGTTTTCAATATTGGCACCACTATTCCCTAATTCCACTCATCGATCCACCCCTCTCCTGCCCATATCCTCCTACATATATTCCACACCCAGTCCTGCATATTTCTTCCTCCAAACTTCCATACCTCTGCTGGTATACCATTCTCTCTGGCGCCTTCCCTACCCTCAATTTTCCAATTGTTTTTATAATTTCTTCCCTTCTTATATCCTCCTCACCCTCCTCTCTTTTTCCCCTTTTTCCTCTCACCACTTTCCAGTACACTCCCCCCCAACTGCTTCTTGAAATAATCCTCCCACTCTCTTATCTCAATCCCACTACCCCCTCCTCTCTTTCTTCTTCTCTCCCTATTCACCACTTCCCACACCTGCCCCATCGTTGTTGCTTTTTTTACCACCTCCTCCCAAACTCTGTTTTCTTCCGCCCTTTTCTTAATACACAACGCCTTGTTTTCTTTTTTTCATTTTTTATACTCCTCCTTACACCCTCTTCCCTCTCTCCACCTTCTTAACTCCCTTCTTACATTCCTCTTTGCTTCCTTACACTCATCATCCCACCACCTTCTTCTCCCACCCACTACTTTCCTTACCTCCCTTTCTCCTAACACCGATCTTATTCTCTTTTTCATAATCTCCCATTCCTCTTCAACCCCCTTTTCTCATCCCTCATCTCCTTCTGTATCTCCTCCATCCATTGTTTTTACTTCCTCCGACCATATTATCCTTTGTATTCCATCCTTCCCTCTATCCCCTTCTCTGTTCCCATTCCTCACCCTTTTTCCATTTCTGATCCAGATCACCACCGGTTGGTGATCCGAATCCACTTGATCCCCTATTTCTATTTTTTCTACATATTCCTTCGTGCTTACTTCCCCTAACACATAGTCAATCACTGACTCCTCTCTTCCACCCGTGTATGTCCATTCTACCTTCTCGTCTCCTTTTGTGCCTCCGTTCCATATTATCCAACCCAGTTTCTCAATCCTCTCCAGCAATAATCTTCCCTCCGCGTTCATTTTCTTATCCTTTGACCTCTTATTTCCATCTTCCTCCTCCTTTCCTTCTCCCCTCATTTCTCCACCCTTTTCCCTTGTTCTCGCATTAAAATCCCTTCCCACTATTGTACTCACTTTCCCATTCTCCCCCTCCATCCACCCCCTTAACTCCTCTAATGTTTCCTCTATCCTCCCGTTTGTATACACCCCCACGATCCTCCACCACTCTCTTCTATCCTCACTCTTCTCACCATTATCCCATCCCTTCCTTCCCATCACTTCTCCTCTCTTGCCTCCATCCCCTTTTTTACTCTCAGTAACATTCCTCCCATAGCCCTACCCTTCCTATTTTTCCTACCCGCTCACTGTACTTCCCAACTAAAATTTTTCGGCGGTTTTCCAGCAATCCCCGCCCACCCTTTTTTGTCCATCCAAGTTTCCATCAGAATCACCACGTCCCAACTCTTCAACCCCTTTCAAAACCTTTTATCTTTTCTTGTAAGCCCAGCCACATTCCAAAACACCACTTTCACACTCTCATCTTTCCTTTCCTCCTCCTCACTTTCATGATTTTGTTCACCCTTCTCCTCTTTTAACCTTCCTACCCATATCTTTCTCTCCCCCACCCGATCCTTCTCCCGCTTCCTTCCTCTTTTATTCCTGTTCCCCCTTTCTTACTATTTTAACCAAGCCCCTTTTCTCCTCGTCCCATCTCCACCAAACCCCCTCTATCTTCATCCTGTCATCCTCCATCCAGACATTTTTTCCTTTCCTCCTTTTTCCCGCAATTACGCCTACTTTTCTTCTTACCTCCCTCTCTTTCCACGGTAGATCCTCCTCTATCCATAGTTTTTTCCCCTTTAATCTCTTCTTCTTATATCATACTTGCTTCTTGTCCTCCTCCCTCTCCAACCTTAACCACACCATTTCCCCTTTATTCTCCCTTCCTGTGGTTATCCTCCTCATTTCGCCTATCCTCACTTCCGCTCCTATCTCTTTTAAAAGCTTTTCCACTCCCCATCTCCAGTCACTTTTTTTTAGGAACCCCTTTTATTATGACATTCCTCCTCCTTCTCTCTTCTTTCTCTTTTCTCTCTATATTCTCTTCTATCATTCTCAATCTCTCTTCCCATTTGTTCCCTACCTCTACTTCTTTTTTCCCCTCCTTTTTCCTTTCCTCTCTCACCTCTTTTTCTTCCAACCTTTTCTCCAGCTCCCTCATTTTTTCTTTTATCTTCTCCCCTTCCATTCTTAATATCTCTTCCCTCCTCTTCCAATCCTCCAACTCCCTTTCCATACTTTTTACCTCTCTCTCTTTCTCTCTCTCTCTCTCTCTCTCTCTCTCTCTCTTATCAATATACACCCCCATCTCCCTTCTAGTCCTCTCTAGTTCCTCCCATATCCCATTTTTTCCTTCTTTCCCCTCTTCTCCTATATCTCTCTCCTTTCCCTCCCCACCATCCCTTTTCCTCTTTACCCAGATATCTAGAAGCGAGCTTTCTCCCTCTCCTCCATCCCTCCATATTTCTCACCTTCTTCTCTATCCCTTTTCCGTTTCCTTTTGCCATTCTGTTTCCTCGCTACCACCTTAAGGCTTAAGCCTTTTCCGTCTTAAAGATGTCCCCAGGAATTCCTTAGGGCTCTACACCCTCTGTCCCTTCTGCACTCTCTGCACCTTCTATTTACCACCTTCCTTTCCTTTGCCAACCTAACCTCCCAGCTCCTTGCCATCCTTTAACCTTCCTTAATACTCTCCCTTCGCTACACTCATAGACGTATAAGAAATAGACTGCGCGTGTGAGAGGGGAAGTGAGTCAAACTTCGGAGTGAGACAGATGCTTTCACCCGAGTCTCTGTCTCTGTCTTTCAGCATCTGGAGTGGGGACTCCCCACTCGGGAGACAACTCCATAGAATGT